GAAATCTCTGATATAGTTGAAGATAAGATTGTACTTATCTCGAGTTATCTTGCACCGCACGCTTCGCTGAAGTCTTCGTAAAAGTAAACAAAACAAATAGGGGCGAGTCTTGGCCAAGCTTCAAGTACCGTGGTATGTACACGCTGAATGCAACCCCTTACCGCACCCCCCAGTCATCCGCTTCTAGAAGGGTCGCCGCATCTTCCAAGCTCAGCCCCGCGGTTTCAGGGTATACCCTCCAAATCAGGCCATACCCAACCGCGCAAATCACCGCGTACAGGACAAACGTCCAAGACGGCGACAAGGCCTCCATCAGCGGCAGGAACGTCAGCCCAACCACAAAGTTGGCGCTCCAGTTGGTCGCCGTTGCAACACCACTGCCCACCGACCGCACATTCAGCGAGAAGAGCTCGCTCTGCATCCACGGCACATTGCCCAGTCCGATGGCGTAGCCAGCCACGTAGATCATGATGCTTGCCAAGATGATAGCTGCTCCGCCCTGGCCCCCCGTTGTCGTGGGCGAGCTGATCTGTGAATCCGGGAGCTCGATGAATGAGAAGCCGTAGCCGGCAAGCACCAGACCTGCCATCATAAATGGAAGAGACCAGAGTAGAATCCGTCTCCTTCCCACCCGGTCGATCAGCACTAAGGCAACCAGGGTGAAAGCAAAGTTGGTGACTGCCACAACGAGCGAGGTCAAAGTCGGTTCCGAAAATCCGACCATCGTGAATATCGTGGCCGAGAAGTACATCAGTGAGTTCTAGAGAAGTAATCACGTTAGAACAACCCATCACGCAAGGATGCACAGTGTCACGGTCGTAGCCCGGGTGTACTCACAAATCCGCACAATTGCTGAAGTCCCTGGAGGAGACAGGCAATAGCCAACGCCCGCCTGTTCCTCCTGACCCTAAACAGGTCCCGCATAGCCTCCATCCACGCATTCACCGCATTCCCATGCCCATTCCCGGCGCCGCCAATTCTCGTAGCCATAGCCTCCTCCCTCACCTCAATCTCGATATTCTTCAAGACAGCATCCACCTCCCTCCTTGTCGACGGATCCAGCGCATCATCCCCCGCCGCAATCCTCGCAATCACCTCCCTCGCCTCCTCCGACCTTCCCTCTTTCACCAACCACCTCGGGCTCTCAGGCATCCACAACAGGATAACCACCTGGACAACCGCCGGCACCGCACCCAGCCCGACCATCCACCTCCACCCCGTCGTCTCCGGGCTCCCATACGTCCCGAATATCCAGCCCACCACATACGCCACCACCTGGCCCAACGTGATAAACACAATGTTCATCGTCACCAATCGTCCGCGGTGCGTCGCGGGCGCCAGTTCGGCAATGTACAGCGGCGTGACGAAGCTGGCGGCGCCGATGGCCACGCCGACGACCGAGCGGCCGACGACCATCACCTCGACGGTGCGGCTGGCCGCCTGGCAGAGGGCGCCGATGATGAAGAGCGTGTCGGCAAAGAGGACGACGCGCTTGCGGCCCCGGTCGTCGGCGAGCGAGGAGGCGAAGGGTAAGACCAAAAGGGCGAAGAGGGAGGTGCACGAGGTGATGACGGATTTGTCGAGCGAGGTTAGCGGGCGGTGCGAGAGGGAGGTGCCGATGGATACGAGGGTGGCGCTTATTACGCCTGTGTCGTCTGGGTAGGGGGAACTTGTGTTAGTCTTGTGTGTGTGTGTGTCATGTTCGACAGGGGCGGGAGGTTCAGGTAACGGGTAACGTACAGCCGAATAGGAGACCGCTAATTCCGGCGGAAAAGGTAAGTAGCCAGATGAAGAGTCCTGGTGGTGATATGTGCTGTTTTCCTCCTCGGGATTCATGCGCGTGTTCGACATCATGGTTGTCATCATGTTGGCCCCCCTCCGTCGACTGGGGGTTGGCGATCAAGGGCTCCTCTGGGTTGTCTGTCATGATGCCGTGGCGTTGCTGCTGTTCATGTCATGGAACTCGATGTGTTCAGGTGGAACTTCCTCAGTCGCAAGTAACAACAGAGGTCTAGTAGTATGGGGTGCGGTAAGGCTGAAAGATGATGATGTGTTGGCAAGCGATATTGATGATGTACACCCTAGGACTGGTTTGATTGCTAGCGCGGTACATTGTGAGTTTTAGACAGGGCAGACTGCTGCAAATGCCCTCCAAATGCCCTGCAAGTGCGCTGTGAATGCCCTCTAACTTTACCCATTATAGAAGGTGGGGATGATTGATACTGGTGATTTGGGTGATTCTGGTCGGGTCCACCGCTGGCGATATAAGGAGTGTGTGTGAGGGAGTTGCGGTCACCTTGAGATCAGGCGATTTCAGCCAATCAGATAGCGTAGATAGACCTGTCCTGCGTTGTAAACTCCCCTATAAGAAAATATGGGGTTTGAACCGCGCTAACAATCAAACCAGTATCAATAGGTACAGTAGTCGGAGGTCCGGTACCTTTACACTACCGACGGCGTGCTGAGGAGCCTGAGGTGACCCCAAGCCGCAGAGGGGAAGGTCGCTGTTTCGAGCCACTGATTCGTTGCACCAGGCACGATCTGCAGGGAAGTCACAGCGGCTCCGTTGAAACGTGCCAGGGCGCCCCCGTGCAGGGGTCCAGCGCTTGGGCGGCCGTGTGTTTCTAGCGTTTCAAAGCTCTGGGCGCTGGCGTGACATAAGAAATTGGAACACCTTGTTGGCCCCTCGGCGATGTCATCCCATCTGCCCGTCCTCCGCTTCGTCTTCTCAAAAAGAAGCTATCTGCATGATGCTCACCAGATTTCCACATACTTGTACTGATCTTTAATCTCGCTTGAACTTTCATTACCTTAACTCGAGCTTAATCGGACCTCAATTGCTGTTGCGCTCACCACAACGACGACAACAACAACAGCATCATCACCACGTACGTCACTGTACCTCGGCTCGGCACAAATCTATCCTCGTACACCTTTTGACTAACAACCAACAAGTTTTGTAGACCAACATAATCAATTCCTCTCGTTTCTGACATATACGAACCAAAACCAACAACAACCCAATCGACTCCCGGTGGTTCGCCGAATCACAGACAGACAAAATGTCGTCGCCATACGCAATGCCGCCCCAACGCGACTCCTGGTTCGCGCCCCTATCCATCGACCTCCTCGTCAAGGTCCTCAAGACGAGTTTCTTCCACCCCTTTATCGCCTGGATCATCCCGCTCTGCTTCCGGGCTCAGAACATGTTCTGGGACGCGCCACCGATGTTGATTTCCATCGCATGGGCTTCCATAATCACCCTCAGCTGGATCTTCATAACCATCAACAACCGGATCGCCTACGGTTTGCCACGCGAGGTAGACCTCAGCGACGAGGTCATTGTGATTACGGGCGGTGCCAGCGGGCTGGGCCTGTTGATTGCCGAGGTGTACGGGATGCGCGGTGCTACCGTGGCCGTGCTGGACGTCAAGGAGATGGACAATGGGGAGGCGAGGGGCGTGACGTTCTACAAGTGCGATGTGTCTGATAAGGCGCAGGTTGCAAAGGTCGCGAAGGATATTGAGAGAGATGTAAGTCTTTACCGTTCCAGTCCGCCCCGTCTCGTTCATTTCTCTGGCATTGACAACTAACCCCAAACAGCTCGGAACCCCCACGATCCTCATCAACAACGCCGCCATCGTCCTCGGCAAGCGTCTCCTCGACCTCAGCCTCGACGAAATCGACCGCTCCCTCACCACCAACCTTCTCTCCCACTTCTACACCATCAAGACCTTCCTCCCTCTCATGGCCTCTTCGGAGACAGGCGGCACCATCGTCACCATCTCCTCCGTCATCGGCACCGTCGCCGCCGCCCAGCTCTCCGACTACGCGGCCGCCAAGGCCGGCGTCTCGGCCCTGCACCGCTCCCTGACGGCCGAGCTGGCGCAGTCTCACCCCAACATCCGCACCGTCCTGGTCACGCCCGGCCAGCTGAGTACACCGCTGTTCTACGGGGTGCAGACGCCCAACAGCTTCTTTGCACCCGTGGTCGAGCCGGTGGACGTGGCCAAGGAGGTGATTGCGGCTATTGATGGCGGGCTGAGCACACAGATTGGCATGCCGCTGTATGCGAGGTGGATTGATTGGTATAACGTCTTGCCCGTCGGGTTGCAGAAGATTGCAAGAAGGTTGGCGCAGGTTGACACGTCTATGAAGACGTTTGTGGGGAGGAATAGGGGGGCGGCGGCTGGTAGTGTTGAGAAGAAGGGGCAATAAAGGAAGGACGATATGTATGAATATTATGAGAGAGGAATGGATATGTACTGGCGCTGGTCGCTTAAAAATGTAATGGCACGGAAAGGTTCGTAGAAGGTGGCATGTTTAAAAGCGTATATAGATGGCGTACCTGACATATGAATCATATTCTGATGTACGAACAGATCAAGAGTCACAAGAATTCCCTGGAAATTCTGTCGGCGTGAGACCTCGAGTCAACTTCTTGGGCATGTTTTACCTTGATCCATTTTCATTTACTGGTGTTCTTGACAGGACACCTCCTCCTAGCGTTTATCTTCATGTTTCTCTGTTTAGATACTTGTGTATCAAAAGTACTTCGTATCGTCTCAATCACTGACTGTCCTGCATGCTCGGTTATGACCCCCTGTTGAAGGAAGATAAAAAGCAGGTAATCAAATCGGCATCTCAACGTACATGCACTGCACAATAGATGATCTACGAGCACTCAACCTGTAACCACAACCTACCCAGTCTTGTAGGTTTGTGGGCTCACCAGGTGGAACGCTGGGTATAAGTTCATCTTTGTTTGATACAGCCCATAAGGCACTTTGTCATTCACGTCCATGAGCTCCTTACTTGTTAAATCCCAAGTGTCATACCTTCCTTCCCTCCTTCCTTCCTCATCGGCAACCCACGTCAGCCGACGCCGGACAACAAACAGCACCTCTTGCTCTTGCCGTACCTTCCCTGAACTTTCACACATGCTCCTTATTATCCAATCTTCTCGACCACTCATTCAACAAGCAAACCGAGCAAAAAAAGCGCGGTTAGTGTAGTGGTTAACACGCTCGTTTCCCAATACACAAGATAACGAGTGACCCGGGTTCGAACCCCGGACTGCGCAGTTTGTTTTCTTTTTGCTTATTTCAGGAGTGATGCCCCCCTTCTTGGGAGAACTAACTTGGACCTTTCTTTCTCCGGCAACACAGGTAAAATGCATACTACTTATTATCTCAGTGCTCAGACCTCTTTGCTTTTTCAGGCGCTGTATTTTATAGGGACCTTACAGGGATGCAGGACCTGGCAGCTGATGGACCCACTTTTATTTGAGAACCAACAGCCGACAGGTACGTACCTTACAATACAATACCTAACCATAGCCGAACGAAGAAGGGAGGTCTGAGTTCTGAGATAAACTACTTATAATGCTGAGCTACGATCAAAATGAGAGTTGGACATCGAAAACTTGGAACGGGACATGGCCACGACTTGAGTTAACCCATCGTCCTCTTCGTTGTAAGGTATGAGCATCAACAAGCGAGCAACCTCAAGCCAAAGAGAATAACCGAGAAGAATCGTACAAATAGCTCACTCAGCTTGCACAAGCAATGGCCACGACCTGGAGAACTTGCAGACGATGGAAACGTGGAATGTGTAAGGCTGATCACAGATAGACCAGACTGTGAACGAAAGGCGAGCAAGGCACTGACCATTCTAAAACTAACTTCCCGCTTGACTACCTTCTCGCTCACGACAAATTACTCAAAATACATATCCAAAGAAATGTGCATCTGTGGAAAGATCTGGTGGTGTTTCCGGTACATGCCGCCTGTCCTTTGCCTTGCGGGTCTTCCTTTTTCTTGCTGTTCCTTTGGCCAGCGCCGGGACTTCCCATAACGACGGTCTGGCCACTGAACCAGAATATTTCCACGTTCCTGTGGCTTTGTAGGATACCTCCCTTCTTTAATATTAGCACTGATAAAGCTGACAGCCCTTTTTTTAGCCACTTAGCAGCATCACTCGGTCAACATTACGCTCCCATCTTTCGTGACGAGCGTGGACAAGAAGGAAAAACTGAAAGCCAAGGAATTACCCGAGCACAAGAGGGATAGCGTATGGATCGTGTGCATGAACTGTGTCCATCCTGCCCGGGATATTGATGACTGAGAGTATCAGGACGAGACCTTACTTCGGAAGAAATTCTGGGTAGCTTTATTGGCTTGTTCAAACTTCGGAGGCAAAGACATACGACATCAAGATAAGTAAGAAAAAATGAATAAAAGAAAACTGGCTCATTCAACCGTGGTATCGTCGTCATAACATCTCTCGTTTCATCCGCATCCTCAGACCTCCATAACTCCATCATCCTTCCGTAATCCGTTATCCCATCTTTCCCTTCCCCTTCAGTCTCCCCTCGGCTCGTCTAGCTTTCAACAGCCAAAGCCCTAACACCAACCAACAACTTCCCATCAGCACTCACGCTAACAACCCAATACTCCACCCGCACGCTGTCCTTGACAACCCGGTACACCCTCACATCCCGTCCCTCGCTCGCCTCCGTCACCGCATCGATCAAATCGGTATACTGTCCGTTGCGATCCCAGTCCACGGGGTCCCAGATCTCGATCTCGGCGTCGGCGGGGGAGGGGTGGTTGATTAGAGAGGCGAATGTTTCTGTTTTTGTTTCGTTATGGTCAGCATGGGTTCTTCCTCCTTTTATCCTCTTCGTTTCGTGTTCTTTCGTCGTCCCTCTTCCACTCCCACTGCCAACCACTTCACACAAGGCAAGAAAAGACTTACCCTCATCAGGCAAACTCTCCTCCCCGAACTTCAAAGCAACCCCCTCAAATGGCTCATCCGCATCGCTGACATAGAACCTATCCCCCTTATCCAGGAGCTTGGCGATCGGCGAGGGAAGTGAGACTCCCTCGTCACGCGTCTTGAACCCGTTTCGGCCGACTTTCTGCGTAGCCGGGTCGGGACGGTCGCGCGGGTAGCCAACAGAGGGATCCTCGTTGGCTTTGTTGAGGAAGGCCATGTAGGAATCGTCTGAGGCCATTTTTGACGATGTTGTGGAGAGGGTGCGCTTGGTAGTAGTCGGAAGAGTAGTTGATGCGATATTTGTGATGGCGGTACGCAAGAGCGGGAGTGCGAGGAATCTTTGAGCAGGTCGTTGAAATCGAAGAAGCGTAGAAGATGTTGATCGAGAGATAAACAATCCAGCGGGCGTCTGGTATCCGAGAGAGAGAAAGAGCTAGGTATTAGCTTTATTGGTCTTCGCAGATATTCGTTGAATTTCGAGAAAAAGAAGCAACTAGAAAGAACTGAGTAAGGGTCAGGGAAGAGTTCAGACCATCATTATGTGTTGGTTCAGGAATGCGCGGCAGGGACGACGACGATGACAATCAGATCAGTCAGGTGGGCTGTGTGCCTTGGGATGCGACTGAACGAACGAACGAAGGTGTCCGATGATGTAACCTGCAGTAGCTGGAAACCAATTAGGAATAGTGGATCTGACATTGGCTAAGGGTGGGGCGGTATCAACCAATCAAGAGTCGGGCTGGCTGTGAGGCCGTGATATGGCAGATTCAACAACATCCGTGTATACCGTGAGGACTTCAAAGACGACTGAAGGAAGATGAGGAGGCGTACGTTGAATCCATTGAACCCATTGAACAGTCTGTAGTATTGAGGAGGTATAGCATAACGGAGGACAGGACCAGCACAGGTATAGATGCGAGGTGGGAAGCTATGGAAGACTTGATAGATCAAAGACAAACAGATTCTATCGGCACGGCAGAACAGGCAACAGGTAGCTCCAAAGCATGCTTCATTGAAGGATATCAGTTGACCGTGTATTCATTTGGTCAGGGAACAGCACCCTAACGCAGAAATCCCGAGGAACGCTTGAGCACGTCGTGCTCACTTAATTGTCAAGAACTGTCCATCAAATCCATGCCAAGAGAAGGATCTTCACGTTCACATCACCTCACATTTGCACTCGAAACAAGATACTCTTGGCAGTACATTGGATCAACGTTTCATTGTTCTTCAACAGCTTTTTATTAAGCCGTAAATGCTAGGTATAGTCCCATTTCCCGACCGACCCGAAAGAGCAACGAAAAAACCTTGACACCAATGCAACCCGACTAACAAGGAAATCAACTGCAGCAGCCAACTTACGAGCTGGCAGCGAGATCCTTCTTGAGGGTACCCTGGTACTGCTTCTTCTCGGCAGGGGTCTGGAAAGCACCATGACCGAACTCCGAGGAGGTGTCGATCCACTTGAGCTCGACCTTCTCGAGGGCCTTGCGGGAGGTGTGGATGAACATGGACTTGCGGAGAGTCATGACTCTCTTCTTGACACCGGGAACGGAGCCCTTGACCATGACGAAGTCGTTGTTGATCTCGCCGTAGCGGACGAAGCCACCCATGCTGGAACAGAGTTAGTTTTGCAGCCTCTTGTCGGAGGAAAATGGGGGATACATACGGGGTGATCTTCTTCTTGGTGACATCGACCTCGGTGGCAGCAGAATCCTCAGCATCGGCCTTGCCAATGCGGTAGATCTTGTGGTTGACCGAGGTACGGTGGTGGTAACCGGCCTGACCAGCGCGGGCAACAGTCCACTGGACGTGGGAAGGATGCCAAGCACCGATACAAGCGACCTTGCGGAGACCCTTGTGAGTCTTGCGAGGAAGCTTCTTGGTGCCCCAACGAGCGGTGACACCGGTGAAACCGTGACCCTTGGTGACGGCAATGACGTCGATAACCTCGTCCTTCTCGAAGATGGAGTCGATGGAGACGGGCTTCTCGAAGAGGCCGTGGCCGAACTCGACCTTGTCGGCGACGGAGCCACCGTTGATCTGGATCTCCATAAGGTGGGCCTTCTTCTGCTTGAGGGGAGTCTTGCGGATCTGGGTGTGGGCAAGAACGCGGACGACAGTGCAGTACTTCTTGATGCGCTCGAGCTCGCGGGTGATGGCGGCACCGTTGTTGTCGGAGTGCTTCTTGACGTACTTGGTGAAGGCCTTCTTCTTGGACTTGTACCAGTTCTTGTAGAAGCGGCGCTTGACCTCGTCGGACAAGTGCTCAGCCCAGACGGTGGTGAGCGAGCGGAGACCGCGGGGAGTCTCGATGTACTAATATCGGGGTTAGATTCACACGGTCGCGGTAGGCCATATACGGCAGCTGGACAGGATCAAAGACTTACGCCGACCAGACCCACAACGATCATCTGCGAGAGATGTTAGCCATTGACACAAAAAGAGCCAAGCGGGCTGCGTTGCACGTACAGGAGGGGTATCAATGATGGTCACAGCCTCAACGACCTCCTTCTTGTGAGCCTTGGCGCCGGGGCGGTCGAGGTCGCGGACGATGGTGGTCATGCCAGCCTTGTAGCCCATGGCGGCGGTAAGGTGGACGGGCTTCTTGGCATCATCCTTGGGGAACCTGTCGTGAACGCGCAACTGGTCAGCCTGTCTGTTCGCAAACGCTATTGCCCCCCAAGTTCCAATCGCAAGATCCAAACTGATGGCGATAGTGTTGTCGATAGTACCGGAAGATGAGCTTGACTTACGACTTGACCTTTCCCCTGTGGCGGGCCGCGCGCTTGCGGGGAAGGTAGGCCAGCGAACCGTGGCGGGGAGCCTCGTACTCTGAAGCATCGAGTCAGCATGGAGGACGTTCAAGTTGCCATTGAAGTCCAAGTCGCGATCACGCAAGCTCCCAAAATCCAGTCGCCAAAAAGTCGAAAATTTCGATATCGCGACGACCGTCTCTCGGGAAAGCTGCTCCATCGTTCTTTCGAATTCGGGATTGCGTGGGCGATATCGACAATGACCGTGTTTCTGGCGGCGACGACGACGACGAGGCGTTACTTACTACGGTGAGACATGACTGCTGATGATCCCAAGTACCCGGGTTGTTGATGGTCGAGTGGGAAAAAGTTCACTACCGCGAAAACAGAAATCAAGAAGTATCGCCAGGGAAATTGGACCACCCAAAATTTTGTGTGAGTGGTGTGGATTGGACCGTGCACGGGCCCAATTGTAGCGGAGCCCTAATTTTTGCGCGTGCCCTGTCCGCCTTCCTGTTCCCCTCGAGGCCTCCCAGCCAACCAGCGA